GCTTTGCAAAGCTAATTGGCAATGAGGTCTCTGGCAGCGTTTCAAGGGAGATAAAGTTGGGTGCTTATCAGTCTTATCCCGAAAGACTTTGGCAGACTTCTGCCGGACTCTTTACAAACTATTTGTGACTCATTACGGGCTATGAAATGAACTTAATTCACAGCTTTTGAAATAAAAAGAGAGTTTTGGGGGCTATGCATTGCACTTCCTCTGGAAGCCTAGGGCAGAACAATTTTCAGGAAAACACAGTAGATGAGATTGAGAAATTGTAGGCCTCATCCAAGACGCTCTGAATTCTTATGAAGTTTCCCTCAAACCCACTAACTTTAAAATATTCCTGAACTGTCTCAATGCTTTCCCCCTCACTTTCACCGAGATGCTTGTCTGTCTCGCCCGCATTGTTTTATTAATTCCCACACTAGCAGACTTAGCAATGAATGCTGGTTCTGGTTTGAAAGATGTGACTGTTGACGATGATTTCAAATTATTACCTTTATAGGTGTGATTCACGCCATTCATCTCGTGGCTCGTCAGCGAGTCTTGAGATTCTATCATCAGTTGCAAGAAATCCACTCTTCTCTGAAATAATAGCAACATTTCAGAATGCTTGCTCCTTGGCAACCTGGCCAGCAAAGAGTGGCATTTACACAACAACAACTTCAGAGTATTGGTTATTACAACAATGCCTTTTTGTTCAGAGCCAATCTCCAAATTACTCCCAGGTCACTGCTTGCAACGCTGCAGTTTAATTTGAAAGGGATTAAATATGGGGAAGGATTGGAATTTGTCTAATTAACTTAAAATTAATTAATGAATAGAATAACAGAGTTGGACGGGACCTTGGAGGTCTTCTAGTCCAACCCCCCTGCTCAGGCAAGAAAGCCTTCACCGCTTCAGACAAATGGGTCATCCAATCTCTTCTTAAAAACGTCCATTGTTGGAGCATTCACAACTTCTGGAGGCAAGTCGTTCCACTGGTTAATTGTTCTCACTGTCAGGAAGTTTCTCTTTAATTCTAGATTGGACCTGTCTTTGATTAGCTTCCACCTAATACTTCTTCTCCCACCCTCAGAACAGAACAGAATAGGAGCTGGAAATATTGAAAAGGCAGGATATTATATTCCCCTGGATAAGAGAAACGTGTTCTGAGGCAGGAAACAGTCTTAATTGCCCCCACCTTTGTCAATGGGCCATTAAAAGGCCTGAGCGAGGGCATTCTACATAACAAAAATCTCCCCCCTTCAGCTCCAGGGTGATGGAATAAAGGCATGATGATAATATTAGCCCTTTGCCCATCTCACCACGGGGCACCTGGGAAGAAACAAGGCTCAACCAAACCTGGACTCAAGACAGCCTACAAAGTTGCTCCTGCATTGCCCCATGGGAGCCTGGCAACCAATCAGAAGACAAGATCAAGATCAAAGGCCAGAGAGGGCATAAAACCAGGGACTTTCAGCATCTCTGCCTCTTTTTTCTTCTTCACCCAACATCTGGAAGCATGGGATCCCCCTTTTCCGTTCAGGAGCTCCTGTCCCCCATTAAACTACCTTTCCAAGCAGCCTCCATGTTTCCAGTTTCTTTTTCCCCACTTGGAGCTGAACCCAGAAGGACGTTTCTTCCAACACTAAGAAGCTACTTAGCTTGGAAAAGTTTACAGATGTGCATTCCCAATGCCTGGTGGGGTTGTTTCTTTTTCCAGAACTAACTTAATAGTTGAGGTTTTTCCCATACCTTCTCCCCCTCCTGGGCCCTCGTCTCTTTCAGTTTTGTGATGGACCTCTCGAAGAAGTCTATGGATTCGTTGGAAAACACACTGATGTTCATCTTCTCAAGAAGAGGTTTTATCCACGGGGCAACATCTGGAAAGAGAGGGGGGAAGGGTTAGAAGAACCCTGTGGATGTCCTGAGCAACTAGGGTTGCTCTGAGGCTGAAAGAGATGGTGATCAACCCAAGGAACATTCATTTGAGGAGAAACTTGAATCGTGGGATTATTTATTTAAAAAGGGGAAGTGGTTGTGAGGTTCAGCCATGCAAGATGGTGCCAACAAAAAGCATACCCAGGCGTTCCACTACTAACTTTGTTGTAAGCTTATACTAACAAAATCTTGCAAGTCTACCCCTCTCCCCCCTCCTCACCTTTACAGTCTAAGAAACTAGGGCAGATCCAGAGCTGGGTTCCTACCGGTTCGGCCCGGTTCGGCCGAGTAAGTAGTAACTTGGCCGGACATGCGCCTGAACCAGTTCTGTTGTGGCCCAGCAGGAGCTGTTGGAGCTGCCACCAGACTCCGACAGAGAGGGGCCCTATGAGTCGGCTCTGGAGGATGTGGAGGACCCTGG